GGGAACAAGGGGGAGGGGATCCTTATGATAGTTGTCCTATCTGTCGTGAGGGTCTTACTTAGACGTACCTTACACCCTGACAAAAATTGGCAGGTGCGCTGAAAAGAGTGTACAAGAATGTGCAAAGGTGGGAAACCCTTCACTAAAACTGCAAAACAGTGAAGACTGCAGTAAAAGAAGAACATAAGTTTGTGTCGTTTTACTTTGTTTGTACCCTGCACCCTAACRCCCTCAAAGAAAAAGTCCGAAGGGTCAAAATGAGAATAAAAAATGAAGAAGGAAGTGCAGGTGTGCTGAAAAATGAACGTGGTAGACTCTTCACCAAAACTGCAAAACTGTGACAGAAAGAAGAATGCAGTAAAAGAAAGTAGATGTTTGTGTCACCCTTATTTTATTTTTATTTTTTCTCCCTCTGCCTATCGATTTTCCTCTTCTGCTCCTCTCTCCTTTGTGTTTGACACCTCTTCCTTCACTCTGCCTCTTTCCCATAGCGTGCAAGTGGGCTGTTATGGCATACGGGGATGGGGAGAGCTCACGCTCAACTTCATCAACGTGGCGAGCCTTGTACGTTAGAGGCACAGTGGAGGAGGAAGACTGAGAAACTGAATGATTTCAATGTGTCTTTGTTTTTTATTGTTATCCTTTGATTCCGTGTAAATATTTTTTGTAAAACACTGAAAGGAATAATAATAATATTGTGAAACAAAGTGTCATTCTGGTTTGTCTGTCTCTTTGCCTGTCTGTCCTTTCATTTTCTTTTCTTTGCTCATCTTATTTCTTCTTCTACTTCACGTGCTCATGCTCTTAGTCAATAGTTGTGTGACAATATATATACACTGAGCTCTATCAACAGGAAGGTGTTCGACGATGCAGGATCGTCCAGAGTACCGATGAGATGGCGATTGACCTGAAAAACAATGTGTCCGCTCTACGTGGCCTCTCTCCTCGCACGGTTGATTTCACCACAATGTACACCAACCTTCCTCATGACCGCATTTTGAATAATGTGGCAAAGGCTGTTGATGAAGCTCATGCTTATGCTCTTCAGCATACCCGCATGCATTCGCGCTGCAGAACCTTGAACATGTTTATTCGCGGGCCTTGCTCTCGCCAATGGACAACCGATTCAGGACCAGACAACCTTTCCGTTTCTCAGATTCTCCAACATGTTCGCTTTGTTGTAGAAAACACTTTTCTGTACACTAGAGATGGCACTCTTCGAAAGCAAATCATTGGTATTCCAATGGGAACAAATGCTGGCCCAGAAATCTCCAATCTAACACTCTATTGGGATGAAGCACGCTTTATTGATACACCTTCACTTACTGCCTCATTGATGATGTTCTTTCATGGGGGCAATTACCTCCTCCTTCAGAGCACTATGAGCTTGAGTGGAAGGAAACTACGGCTACTGATGGCTCGTGTACCTTTTTAGGTATGCATCTACGGGTACGTTCTGATGGTTCGCTTCGCATGAGCGTRTTTGATAAAGCGGCTGCTTGGGATTTCCCTGTTATTCGCTATCCAAGTGCTACCTCCAACATCCCTTCCCATCAACCGGCAGGTGTGTTCACTGGGCAATTGACCAGATTTGAACGCATCTGCAATAATTGGCAGGACTTCCGAACTGCAGCGACAACACTCACTCGTCGCATGCTTTCTTGTGGCCATTCCCCACCAACCCTCGCAAAAGGATGGACCTGCTACACACGCTCCCGCCAACGTCTCTATCCTACACACGTCACCCGTCTCTCTCAGTGGTTCCGACGCATGCTGCGATGGTCCTTGCATCACCCACTTTCTTCTTTATCCCCACATCGCGCTCGTCCTGTCACTGCTTGTTCATCTGCTAGTAATGCAGTTCCCACTGTTGCGGTTCCCACCGCCGCCGCTTCCACCGCTGTGGTCTCCACTGCTGCAGTTTCTACTGCTGTTGTTTCAATTCCGGGTTTCACTCCAGCAGTTTCTGCTACGGAAGTTGCCTCTGCTGCTCGTCCTGTCACTGCTTGTTCGTCTGCTGCTAATGCAGTTCCCACTGTTGCGGTTCCCACTGCCCCGCTTCCACCGCTGTGGTCTCCACTGCTCCAGTTTCTACTGCTGCTACCGCTGTGGTTTCCACGTCTGCAGTTTCTACTGCTGCTGTTTCAACTCCGGGTTTCACTCCAGCAGTTTCTGCTCCGGAAGTTGCCTCCGCTGCGGTCCCTGCTACGGAAGTTGCCTCTGCTGCGGTTCCTACTTCAACACTTGTCTCTGCTGCGGTTCCACTTTTTACCACTTCCTCTGCTTCTGCACCTCGAATTTCTCATGCTATAGTTTTTGCTGGTATAGCTTTCTCTACCCCAGCCCGACACTCGCGTCCTATGTTTCGACATCTTGCCGAATCCACCCCCTTTTCATCCCTTTCTGTGCTTGGCCGYAGACGGCTGCGTTCCTCCTCGCCACCCCCATCTCCTCCACGGTCTCATTTGAGAACCGATTCTCCGGTTTCKATTCTTCCCATTGTTCCGCCTTCATTGCCAGTGACATCTTCTGTTAGAAACATCGCCACTCCTCTTATTGTGTATCATCGTCGACGACATGCACAACATYGCCACTTGGCYAGGGATCAGCGGHCTGCTTCTTTGTCTACCCCAATTCTCTCTRTGCCTCCTYCACGGGTTGTTGHGGTTCCGTTGTCCCAAACGGATACATCCGCTCCTATGCCTCCTGCAGACAGTCCAGCTGCTTGCACACAGCCACAACACCATGTTTTATGCCCTTCCATGTTCGTTTGTCCCCCAGCTGTGYAACASGATATGGTCCCTGCCCAGAGTACACTCCCAACGACAGTCCCTACTCACGATGTGGCCCCGAACGCTGAGGGCYTGGGACATGATCAGCTCGGACTGCATTTAACCYYGCAAGGCATAGACCACAYGGGAGATTTGCAAATGGCTGACCAGGATCATATGGATGAACCGCGTACTTGTGCCCCACCATGTGTGGCCCCGAACGCTGAGGGACTGGAACATGATCTGCTTGGACTGCATTTAATCCCACATGGCGTAGACCCCACGAGGGATTTGCAAATGGCTGACCGGGATCATATGGATGAACCGCATACTTGTGCACCACCCTGCGCAGACCCCACGGGTGATCTACAAATGACTGACCAACAAAATCAGCCTAAGATCCCCGCCAATCTCTGTGGTCTGACTGCAACTAATAGCTGCCTTCACGTTCTCAATCGGTCGTTGTATACACAATCAGATTATCTTGCAATTGCCCTGCAGCTTGATGTTGATCTCGCTAATCTCGCTGATCCCCCCGACCTACAGCCAGAGCATCGTAATTACACCAGGGAAGGAGGTTTTACCATTGCTGTCCTAGAA